GTTAATAGGGTGAGATAACTTCAGAGAAACTGGTTCTTTTGAGTCAATGGGGCATCACTTAGTACCAAATATTAATATTGGAATGATTGATAATAACTAGATGGTGGACACTCTAACGATACCTACAGCTCCATAAAAGGAATAATTATTCTGGTACTTATGCGTTATCCCCTTGATCATGAACTTATCACCAAGCAGCACAGCACCAGTTGTAGAAAAGCATGAAGTAACAACACAACGTCTGCGCTTTTTTTATGTAACACAACTGATTCTCAAGAAGCCACTTTTAGTTCTTATGAACATGAATATAAAATAAATATTATAGCTGTATTGTGTCTTGCATTCTGAAAAAAAATTATTATAATTTAGGATATACCTGCTACAGAACAGCAAGCAGCTGATTATTTTCAAAGTTATGGGATCATATCATTAAAAAAAAGTGTGTATTAATGGGCTTGTTACAGTTGGTTGAATATGGCTGGCAAAACATTAACAGACTGAAACAATTACACGACCAAGTTTGAAGTCATAGCAATATAAAAAGAACTTCTGTTAAAAGCAGTGAGATTTACAAAAATAGTAGAACTCGGGAAAGCTTTTTTTACAAAGCATAAATATGAAACAGGTTGAATACTTTGTTCATTAAATAAAGAGATGTTAGTTCCTTCAGAATTCCATACAAATGACTTTGGTGGGATCTCTGCCTAATTTCACAGCCAATGGGGTACTACATAAGTACAGTACAATGTTCGATATCCAGACTCCTCGGGATTCAGCAATTTCGGATTTGGGACTTTTCTGGATATTAGATCAACAGTTTAAATCTAGTAAGATGACATGCAGAAATTATAAATTTAAAAGTACGAAATAGTGGTTTAAGGAAAAAATGAAGCATTTATGACCTTAAGGAATTCAAAATTACAAAAAAGCTCAATATTTATTGATTTGCTTTATTAAACATTTCTCTCAATGCAAGTTCTTTAATTTGCTTCACTTTATGTGCTACTTCTTGCCCTTTGATTCTACAGACACAATTACTTATTGCTTATTAAGTTACTATTGCTTCACTTTTTGTGCTCCTTCCCTTCGATTCTACAGAGAGACACAATTTCTTGTTCAGTTACTGTTCCAGTATTCAAACCTTGTAATTGCTCTCAAAAATTCCTGTTAAATTGTCAATTAAAATTTTTTTATTTTCAACAACCAATTGTTCAATTTTTATAATACATGAGAAAATGGTGAAAACATAGCTTGTTCAGTATCTAGAAATTAAATCCATAATGAACCTATTTGCATTAAATATTTCTTAACCCTTTCCAGACAGGCATCCCATTTGTAGGGTATGCATATTCCCTACGAATGTCTCCCACAGCCAGGTGTCCAACACATGCAATACTGGAGAATGAATTCAGGGGATGCGTGATACATATAATGCATTTTAAGCTGGATTTTTTTTTAAAGACCACTAGATGGCACCCTATGTCCATTACTTTTGAACTGAACATAGTTTTAGGATCCTGACCTTCACTCTGTATACTTTTATGCCTAACTTAGGTATTTTACTCATCAGCTGTTATGGGGAAGGCAGGAAAGCACAATGTAAACACAGCTTGGCTCTTGAACTCCCTGCACGATACTATAAACATTCACGTTTCTGATATATCTCTGAATCCTTTTTTATTCTTATTTTTCACTACTATATAGGGTCTTTCAGAAATACTACGTGGGGTTCTGTTACACATTGTGTAGCTTTCAGATATATTTTGAATACTTCCATTTTTATTTTGGAACGCCTTGACTCCAGTTTATTATGGCGAAAAGGCATTACTTATCAGAGAAGAAATATACTTGCATGGTAAATAAGCCAATTAGTGACACAAATGCCACCCAGACAGTATAGTGGTTAGGGAAGTTTACTGTGGTACTGAAGAGACCAGGTTTGAATCCCGGAGAAGCCATGGATCTTTGTAAATTCATAGTGTTTTTGCAGCATGGGGGAACTCTAAATGCATGGTGAATTGAAGGTCCTCTCATGTGGTTTGGTGATAAGGCAAAGATGAGAGAACCTCAGGCCCCCCCCCAGGGTTCTCTCCCTCAAAACTGGGGTGAAAGTAGAAGGTTAAACCTCCTTGATGCTCTTGCAACCATTCTTCCATAAAATACATTGACAAGACACAACAACAACAGTGATGCAGATGAGATTGATGATTCGTATTCTAAAGAATTAGATAGTGATGTTTCTAGTGATTCTGATAGGGACATTTTGTCAGAGGCAGAGCTCACCGAGTGCTTATTTTATGAAATAATTTTTGGAAGAGCAATTCAAATTATTTTGAAGTTTTTATTGAAAAAATCAATAATAAGCTTTGAAATTAATAAAAAATAATATAAAGTCCATTTGCTGTAAGAAATAACAAAATTTAAAATGAAGCCTGAGTGTGATAAATCTAAGCACGGAGAAACGCTAAAAAGTCCTGCATTGCATGATCCACAAGCATAATATGTCCGTTGCCTTTTTCTTTGTTTTAGCACAATTTGTGAACAAACTGTGCACCGTTTTTGTTCATGTCGAGGATAGGAAAATGCCTCCCAGATAATTGGATAGATGCTGGTACAGATCTGACAGTAAACTGCTTTTCTTCTCAATAATTTTTGTAGTTCTCAAAAATTTGCTCAATAAATTTCATTTTAAATTGGGGAACCAACATTTTAATACTTGCTTTTTTGTCAAAAAGAATGAAATACATTGACAAGACGCAACAACAACAGTGATGCAGATGAGAATGATGATTCATATTCTAAAGAATTCGATAGTGATGTTTCTAGTGATTCTGATAGGGACATTTTTGTCAGAGGCAGAGCTCACCGAGTTCCTGCCTTCAACTTTCCCTGAAAGTTTGACTCAAGATACTTAATCTTGGACTCCAGAGCTTGAGGAATTGTATTCCCATACATTTATTGAAACACCGGGAGCAAATTATACAATAAATGCTGAAAAAGATATCGATTTTTTTAATATTTCCTACGATGATGACCTACTAAATTTGATTGTTGAAGAAGGAAACAGTTTTACTCAAAACATTCAAAGCAGTGCTTCATTAACTTCTAAGTCAGCCAAATTTTTAATTATTAGTACTGAAAATACAATTTTTTTTTTAAATGATAAAAAGTGTTTTTTGCAATGATAATATAATGACATTCTCAAGAAGCCTAATTAAAAATCATATTCACTACAAATGAAATATTCATTACTCCGTTCTTTATTAGAGTTATGCCTAGAGATATGTTTCTTAACATATTTAAATTTATGCATTTAACCTCAGAAAACAGTGTTAAAAAGTTGGGAAAGGTAGAATTAATTACAGAAAATCTAAAAAATAAATCTACCAAAAAAACTACATACTTGAAAATATTTGCATTAACGAATCCTTTTTTGTTTGGAAAGGAAATCTTGGTTTTTGTCAGTATCTTCCATCCAAAAGATCACGTTACGGGACAAAATTTTACATTATGCGAATCAGTTAACAGTTATGTATGGAATTTTTCAAATTTACAGTGGAAATTAATTATTTTACACAGAAATGCTAAGCAGCAGTGCGTCTTACAGAGAAAGAGTAGTGAAAACATTGATGAGCGACTTATGTGAAAAATAGTATAACTTATATTTGGACTACTTCTTCAGTCCTCATCACTTGTGGAGTATTTGCATTCCATAAAAACAAATGTTTGTGGAACGGTATTAAAAAACGAAAAAGAATGCCCAAAGACTTGCCAGAAAAAAAACTAGAAAAGGGTGAATTCGATGCAATGCAGCGAGACAGCATGAACATTATTGCCTTCAAAGACAAAAAAGAAACACTTAGCATACACGGACAAAAATGGTTAAATCTAGCAGAAACGATAGCATTACTGAGGAAGACATTTTAAAAACCTAAATGTATTATAGATTACAAAAAAAGCACGGATGGTGTAGACATAGGAGACATAATTATGAAACACTATTCATGTTTTTGAAAATCAGCGAAATGGTACAAAAAAAAATTTTTTTTTGGGGGGGGGGTAGGGGGCTGATAGATATAACAGTACTGAACTCCAACATTCTTTTTGACAAAAAAGCAAGTATTAAAATGTTGGTTCCCCAATTTAAAATAAAATTTATTGAGCAAATTTTTGAGAACTACAAAAATTATTGAGAAGAAAAGCAGTTTACTGTCAGATCTGTACCAGCATCTATTCAATTATCTGGGAGGCATTTTCCTATCCTCAACATGAACAAAAAAGGTGCACAGTTTGTTCACAAATTGTGCTAAAACAAAGAAAAAAGGCAACGGATATATTATGCTTGTGGATCATGCAATGCAGGACTTTGCATTTCTCCGTGCTTAGATTTATCACACTCAGGCTTCATTTTAAATTTTGTTATTTCTTACAGCAACTAGACTTTATATTATTTTTTATTTATTTCAAAGCTTATTAATGATTCTTTCAATAAAAACTTCGAAATAATTTGAATAGTGCTTCCAAAAATTATTTAATAAAATAAGCAAGTTTTTTAAATATATTTTCATAGAAAATCAAGGATAAAAATTAATTAAGTGCTAATTTTAATGTATAGGACAGCTTCAGTGATAATCTAAAATGGCACAAAAAATTACATTAGAGTTAAAATTTTTGGCAGGTTCCCCCCCCTCTAAAGTTAGGCTTAGTGATGCAAAACCCCAGTCCTGTGCAATGATTCCTTTCGACTCCATCTTAAACAAAGGGAGTAGGGAATGTCTTGAACAAATGTCTGAGGTCTTACACAAAGCACACTGTCTCAAAAGTGTTAATCTGTAGCCACTTAAGACATAGTAGAAAATCTAAGGAACAGTTTTTTACAATTTCTTAAATGAAAGTTTAGTCCAATGTAAACAACATTCTGGATAATTCCTTAAGATTTGAGGCATTTAAAGCAATACTAGCGATTGTGTTTTATAACAGTCAAATATGTAAAAACTTACTGTATCTTTTAGGTCCATCTTCTAAGCAGAATGTCAGTGTTAAAGTAGCATCATCTTCAAAGAACTCGGTTGCAAAAGCATCCCACCAAAGACTATCACTTTCCTAGAAATTGAAATAAAATCATCTAGTACAAATAAAAAGGTTAAAAATTACACATACTTTGATAAATCTTAAGTAGTTTTAACACAATCAGATCTCTGGAATAGTTACTTATCACTGAAGACAACTGAATATGATTTCAGAAATTTATATTAAATAAAATCACTTAATAAATTTTCCTTACTTTACAATCATTAATATTATGATGAAGTGTTAGCATAAATTTAGGTATTTTGCATAATGAAACTCGAAAGGCATACGTGCGCCAAGGTATATATCGGCGAGAGAAAGTAAAGTTCGTGACCAATGCAGTATATTTGATTTTTCACCCTAGCTACTTGTACCTGGCCAAAGGTCTAATCCAGTAGTACTTTCTTCTCTTTCAGGTACGATGTCGAAGTATGTTCCTGTTTATTTTTCTTATTGCCTAAAATAGGTAAGCCTGGTGATTTAGGACTGATGATGATTCTCTGTAAGTTATTCTTTTCAATACTTCAGTGTTTTAATGTCCGTGAACATTATTACTTTTGTTATGCTTAAGTTAAGCAGAATTATCATATTTTATTAAATAAAGATTTCGTAGTTAATCTTTTGACTTATGATTCTTTAATTCTGTGCTTGAGGAAACGTACTCATTACGCCTTCAGTGCTAATGCACAACCAACAAAAGATTATGAGACTGAGAAATTGAAATTTTGTAATGTTGTAAGATTCCAGGGGCATAAAGTGTTAAAACTCTTTGTTGAAAAAAAAAACTAGTTACAAAGTTTATAAGAATAATTGTAACAAATAATAATGTCTATTCTAAAAGAATCAATTTGTATAGAAAAATTAAAAAAGTTAACAGATGAAAATTATTCAGTGTGGAAATTTAAAATAGAACAAACTTCTAATAAAAGAAGGTTTAGATGATGTTGTATTCGAAGAAAAACCGGAACGGAAACTTTACTGATATTTGGTTAAAGAATGATCGTAAAGCTAAAGCTTTAATATGTCTAAACATTTCGGATTCGCAAATTATCCATGTTTTACATAGTAAATCTGCAAAAGAAGTTTGGCAGAAGTTAAAATGTGTCCATGAACGTGTAAATTTAACAAATAAGTTATTTCTTCTTAGAAAACTATATTCCATTAGATATAATGAAAGTTCTAAAATGCAGGAACATATCAAAGGAGTACTAGAATTGGCTGAAAAGCTGCGTAGTATAGGTGAAGAAATTAAAGAAAATAACTTAATAGCAATACTACTATGTTCTTTACCAAATTCATACAACTCCTTAATAACTGCATAGAAAGTAAATCGGAAGCTGAATTGTCGCTAGAATATGTTTAAAACAAACTAATAGATGAGTATTGTAGACGTGTGGAAACTAAGAAAGTTCAAAAGTACGATTCAGTTGCTTTAAAAAGTAAAAGCGAAAATAAACCAAAGTATGTTACACAATTTTGTACTTATTGTAAGAGAAATAACCATACGATAAATGACTGTTTTCATTTAAAACGCAACGCTAGAACTTCCCCGAAAACAGATGTAAATAATAGTAAAGTAAGAAATTATTCTCAAAATTATAAAAGTAATGCATGCCAAATAGCAAATACACAAAGTGTAGAAAACATAACAAAACTTAAAGAAAATAAGTATCTTAAAAGTATTGAAACTGAAAATTCGCAGATTCAGTTTAATCAAGTTCTAAAAGTGGAAAATAAACATGAAAACACGCAAACGCAAGAATGGGTTATCGACTCAGGAGCCTCAACTCATATGACGAGTGATAAAGAATTTTTTCTCTCAGTTAAATGACTCTAATAAACAAATAATAACTGTAGCCAATGGTGTTAAATTAAATTCTTATGGTATTGGTGAAGGCTATTTTAAAGTTCAAAACTTAAAGGGTCAGGTTACACAAATAAAATTGGAAAATGTATTGTATGTACCAGGTTTAGATAGTAATTTACTTTCTGTTCAATCTGTTACAAATAAAGATTGCATTGTTACATTTGATAGTAATAAGTGTTACATAAAGCGTGACAATATACTCGTAGCCGACGGCAAAATGCTCAGCAAGGTTTATATAAATTGACCATAAACTCAATTGACGAGAAAGCATTCTTAGCTAATGATATTTCATGTTCAAATACGAACTGTATACTAAAATGGCATCAAAGATTAGGCCACAGAAATATAGATGCCATAAAAACACTTGAGAAAAATGATTTGGCAGACGGCATTAAACTTGGCAAATGCACTCATAGTGTGGAATGTTCTACTTGTGTAAAAGCGAAACTAACTGAAAAACCTTATCCCAAAACTAGTTTTAGATCTAAAAATCCACTGGATTTAGTGCACACAGATGTGTGTGGGCCAATTGAAGTCAACAGCTTAGGAGGGAAAAGATATTTCGTAACTTTCATTGATGACTATTCGCGTTATACTCAAATTTATTTTATTACTTCAAAAGATGAAGTATTCGACAAACTTAAACAGTATGTTGCATCGACAACAAATAAATTTAGAAAGAAAATAAAGGTTCTCAGATCCGACAACGGTACAGAATACTGTAACGAAATTACTGAAAATGATTTAAAGAAACTCGGCATTTTCCATGAAACTTCGGTTCCTTATTGTCCGGCACAGAACGGCGTCGCAGAAAGGAAAAATCGCTCTTTAATAGAAATGACAAAAGCTATGCTAATAAACTCTAAATTACCGAAAGGATTCTGGGCTGAAGCAGCAGCTACTGCCGCATATCTTCAAAATAGGTTACCAACTAAAGCCACAGATAGAACACCATATGAATTGTGGAATGGTAGAAAACCAAACTTAAGTCACTTACGAGTATTTGGCTGTAAAGCATTTTATTACGTGAACAAACAAAAACGGCGTAAATTCGACAACAGAGCTGAAGAAGGAATATTCGTAGGATACGATTTACGAAGTAAGGGATACAGGATTTATGTAGGTGGAAGGAAAATAATAGTAAGTAGAACTGTTAAATTTTCAGAAAACTCGTCTTTACCTGACAAACTTGCAGAAAATAATGCTGAAGATTTAGAATTAATTCACTTCAATAACTCGCAAGAAGATGAAGAAAATAATGAAGAAACATCTCTTGGCGATGATTTTACAGAAAATTCAAAAAGTTTCGAAGAGTTAATTAAATGTGAAGAAAATGTAAAAGAAGGGTTTCTAGCAGATCAACCAAAGGGGTCCCACCGGAAAGATCTTTTTATAAAGCAGAAGACGAAGAATCAATCTTACTTAAAAATAAAGATTCAGAAAGCTTTGAAGAAATTCTAAACTTACCAAAACGTGAACAAGAAGCTTGGATCAAGGCTATGCAAGAAGAAATACATTCTCTAAAAGAAAATGAAACCTATAACACTTACAGAATTACCACCAGGAAAACATGCAGTAGGCAGCAAATGGGTGTTTAAGACAAAATATGATGAAACTGGTAAAAATATAAAATACAAAGCACGCTTAGTAGCCAAAGGATTTACTCAAAAATACGGCAGTGATTATGATGAAACTTTTTCACAGTAGTGAAACACACTACGATAAGAGTTTTTCTTAGCATGGGCAGCGTATAATAATGCTAAGGTACATCAACTAGATGTTAAAACAGCTTTTTGTACGGCAACTTAAATGAAGAAATATATATGGAACAACCAGAAGGATTCGTGGTTCCGGAAGAAAAACATAAAGTTTGTAAATTACAGAAGTCGATTTATGGTCTCAAACAAGCAGCTAGGTGCTGGAATGCAGAAATTGAAAATACATTGAAGAATCTTGGGTTCAGTCAAAGCAAAGCAGATCCGTGTCTTTTCACAAAAGTGGTTCGTGATAAAAGAATTAATTTAATAGTGTATGTTGATGATATCCTAATAAGTTCTACAGAAGAAGGACTAATTCTTCAAACAATTAATGATTTAAAGAAACGTTACCAAATAACGCATCTTGGTGAAGCTAATATTTTCTTAGGCATGGAAATAAATCGCAAGGAAGATGGAAGTTATCTCTTATCACAGAAAAATAAAATAAATCAACTTGTCAAGCAATTTCAACTTGAAGAAGCGAAACCCACTAGCACACCAATGGAAACGAACCATTATAACCTAAACAAGGAAGAAAATCTCCTAACTTCAAATGATAAATTTCGCCAAGCTATTGGAAGTCTTTTGTATATATCGTCTATCACAAGACCAGATATCACAGCTTCAACTCACATACTCAGCAGAAGGTGTAATAATCCACGTCAAAAGGACTGGAATGCTGTTAAAAGAATCATTAGATACTTAAATACTACAAAGAATCTATCCTTACAAATTTCGTCGAGTGAAGAACCTAATATTACAGTTTATTCAGATGCTGATTGGGGACAAGATATTGAAGATAGAAAATCTACATCAGAAAGTGTTATTTTATTAGGAAGAAACTGTATTTTGTGGTTTTCAAGAAAACAAACTTGTGTTTCTTTATCCTCAGCAGAAGCTGAATATGTTGCAGCACTATCGCAAGCTACGCAAGAACTATTATGGCTATTAAAAATTAACAGAAGATTTCAATCTACCCCAAACTCTAACCGATAAAGGTATTTGAAGATAATCAGTCTACTATAAGACTTGTAGAATCTGAAAAATTCAGTTCACGCACAAAACATATTTATAAAACTTCTTATCTTTCAACAGAGAAATGGTTGCTGATATTATGACTAAACCAATTCCTAAAGCTAAATTTCAGTTTGCAGGAATGAATTACAATTGGTATGAGTTTCATTAGCAAAACAGGGGCAATGTTAGCATAAATTTAGGTATTTTGCATAATGAAACTCGAAAGGCATACGAAACGAACGTGCGCCAAGGTATATATTGGCGAGAGAAAGTAAAGCTCGTGTGCAATGCAGTATATTTGATTTTCACCCTAGCTACTTGTACCTGGCCAAAGGTCTAATCCAGTAGTCAAAGTATGTTCCTGTTTATTTTTCTTATTGCCTAAAATAGGT